AAAAAGTAATAGTAAAACTTTAAAGCTACGATAAGTGTACCAAAATTATCTCAGATTTTTATATACCTAATCCAGAATACAATGAAAAATTTACTCTTTCTCGAAGATTTCTTTGCAAGCGAAAGAGTTAAATTCATATTGTTGCCAAAGAGTTAAAATATAGTTTACAATTTATCAGAATATTTTCCACAGATTCTATGATACAGGTTTATAAAATTTTCTTAAGGACCAAAAATCGCGCAATCTCCATAGAAATAATATCGGACGAGACTAGCTTATTTCGCAGCCGCTAGATGAACTTTTCGTATTATTGCAGGAGCAACGAGAAGAGGAAGGAAAGGTCTCGCGATGCAGCGCGCTGCAGACGTAGCAGAGAAACCGATATCTTCACTGAACTCGCGGCTGCTCTTCCGGTCGCGCCGGAACAAGCAGCGCTCTTAGATAAGGCCAGCGTAATGAGGTTGGCGATTGCCTACCTCAAAGTCCGAGCCGTCGTGGATTCCAGTGAGTATCTGTGAAAGTATCTGAATGCCCGTCTTTATTATTGCAACAAAGATGTTTCTTTCTTTCGAGTTATAAAATACGATACTATTCAGCTAGAAACATAGAAATACTATTTCAACTAGAAATATACAGAAATATATTTCTTGCAAAATATTTCAACGCGGACATAAACATAAACATTTCAAATATATTTTAATGTAGAATACTTTATAGAAGTTTTTTATCCTCACAAGTTTATAGCAAGTCAGAATCCTATAATAATAATATATTCTTAAATAGATTTGTAAACTGTAGAAAATGTGTATCTTAAGATATTTAATTTATTTGAACTTTAGAATATCGTAAGTTTCCCTTTATTAAATATTATCGATTAGATATAGCCATTCTTTGAATCAAAGAGATTTGATAAGCGTGAGTTTTTAAAGTAAATAGTTTCAGATTTTAAATCTAGATTTTAATATTATATTATATTTTACGATCTTAAATCATTTTGGGATTTAATTAACGTCGTACTTACTAAATTTATGAATCTTTTAACATAAGTTCCAGTTACGCTGACAAAATCCGAATCGTCCGCAAAGATGGATGAATTATTTCCAAAAGCTCTCAACGGCTTTATGTTAGTACTCTCCAGTGACGGCAACATGGTCTACCTTTCAGAGAATGTCAGAGACTATCTCGGAGTGTCACAAGTACGTTAAATGATCAAATAAACTTTCATTAATTATATTGTGAGAAATCTAAAACTAGTAAATGACATAAATGAAATAATATCCAATGATTTTGAAACAATTTTTATATTTTAAGTAATATTATTTTTCGTTTTAAACATTTTTTTAAAGAATTTTCCAATATGTATATAAAATTTATTTTTGATAAATTTTATATTTATAAAAAGTTTAAATAAAATTATATTATGTTTCAGTTAGTTTACTTTCAGTTTATTTACTTTTGTTATGAAAAGTATAAAACGTGATTATGAGTTTTTATTATTATGATTATTCGCTGCACTTTTCGTCGAAATTCGGGGAGAGTAAAACTATATGTTTTGCACAGATGGATATGATGGGACAAAGTGTATACGAATACAGTCATCCCTGCGACCATGATGAATTGCGTGAGTGCCTGTCTTCGAAGTCGGCGGATAACAATGAGAAACGTACCTGCAACTTCTTCTTGCGACTCAAATGTACTCTCACTAGCAAAGGCAGGAAGGTCAATCTGAAGAGTGCTTCTTACAAGGTATATTAAAATATGAAAATCCTTTTATCTATTCTAATAATATAATTATAGTATTTGTCGCACGAAACGTTGAATAAATATTAATTTGAGAGAGAAAGAGAGAAATAAAATTATAATAAATTTAATAGAATATAGCTTATTTTGTTTTCAAATAATTACTATATAAATATAATTTATTACATATAATAATTTGCATTTTTTTATAAATGTGAAATATAAACACAACACATGTATACGCATAAAAGTAAAATCGATATTATATAATCGAGTAACAGAATTTGCATAAAGTTTTCGCAATATTTCACATTTCATGCTCATCTGAATAGATTTCTTTTATTGAAATCTTTTTCTAAATTAGCTCGTGAATAATATATTCGTGATTGGATGTTGGCAGGTAATTCACTGCACTGGCAGATTGACAAACATCCGCGACTCAAACTCGAACTCTATGGAAGTTGATAATGAAGAGCGACGCAAAGAGGATGAGGACGTGGGACAAGACACAGGCACTTCTCTAGTGCTCGTAGGTAGTCCTATACCTCATCCTAGTAATATTGAGATACCTTTGGGACGCCATACCTTTTTGTCGAAGCACAATCTCAGCATGAAATTTACCTACGCTGATGAAAAGTAAGTAAATAATGGAACTATTATATTTTTATCAGTCTCTTATTTTTATGTTCGACACAATGTGGATTTTTTAGTTCGTGTGTAAATCCATAAAATAATTTTATTTGGTACGTTATTATTTTAAAGTAGTACACAGCTTGACTCGTCATTTTCATTATCGTTGGCTTGCATAATTAGCACAATGATTGAATATCTTTATCGTTCTTATCGTTATTCGATAAGTTTTACCTTGCTTATCGTACATAAGATTCAAGTATGATCCTTGTGACGCGTATTGTATTACAAATATATATTGTATTTTCAAAACAATTGAATTACATTATTGAATATTATTTTGCGTTGTATTACTGAGAATATTTTTTTTGTCTCATTTTAGATTAGCCGAATACTTGGGCTGGAGCAGTGAGGAGTTGATGGGTCGATCAGTCTTTGAGTTTTATCATGCACTCGACAATCTTACGCTGGACAAATGTTTCAAATGCCGTAAGTTTTTATTCTTCACTTTTTTCTTTTTACTCAATTTTGTATTTATTTGTATTTACTTAAAACATGATAATTCGATTACTTATTAAAATTTTTTTTTAAATATCTAAAAATTACTTGAACATCCATCCTCGATTTCTAGAAATTCTTATACCGTCTCTTTAGTTTACGAAAATCAATTTCTGTAAAATTGATTAGGATCATTTAATTGCGAAAATCACTTAATCTTAAATTCTTTATGTAAATTGTTATTCTTTCTCTAGTATTCAATAGTGTTTTAATTGTCTGATTTTTTGGAGTGAATTTTAAAATTCCTCAAAGAGTTATTTTCGTATCGTAAGAAATTCTGTTACGTGCGAGTTACACGTATACAGAGAAGCATAAAACCAAATGGTTGTTAAGTGGTAATTCGTGTAAGAGTTGCTATGGTCGCATTGCTATTTTGTCTGATGATCGGTTACGCTGTACGCGAGTAATACGGATGCGAAACGTGATAACCATCAAAATAAACGAGATACATAAAAAGTTTTGGATGAAAGAGAAACGCGGGACGACAGAGGCGGAGAAGCGGCTTACGGAATGGGTCGACCTGGGTGAATGACATGGCCGAGAGGAAAAAAGGTTTCAAGGACGATCATATCTCTTATCGGTTGCGACGGTCTTTCGGACTCGACGACCTTTTTTTATGGCTTCCATCAGGGAGCGCAAAGTAACGCACGGCTAATGTTATCGGCTATGAGTTATGCAATTATTGCATCTTCCATCGGTATTTACGAGCACACACGTGACTTTATCGTGTCGATTTCGATAATTGACTCGTAAAACGGCAGGTAGATAATGAAAAATGAGATGTAGTGACAAAGTGCGAGGCTATAAAAATGTCGAAAAATATTTATCGTTTGACTGACATTTTACATTGAGATACAGTCTGGAGAATTATCCTCGACGATATATCGAGGGATAACACATCGCGATTGAGTCATTAAACTAAAAATAGCATGTAATAAATATGTTCTATAACATAGGAATCTTATTTAATAAATATTTTATCTAACACTTAATTGCCAATATACGTAAATATTACGTGGCATTAGACATTGGAAAGAACAAATTAATTGTAAATAATAAATATTTTGAAGTTAAAAATTGGTGAATTTATTATCGATAAAGCTCAGTCTGTAATGTAGCAGATATCTAAAAGATTTTTTATTGATGACAAAATTTTAATATACGCAGTAAAAACAATACTGACATACGATTGTAAGGAACGATTTAGGAGGTTCACATTCGAACAATCCGCAACGTTATCCTTTTAACGCCAATCAGCCTCGGCTTTCCAGCCGAATCAGCTCCGCACTAATCTTATTCTAGTCGTGTTTTATGAGAATAGGGAGAGTAGGGAGATACATTTCTAGAAACGAGATAATACACTTCTCGAAGAGGTTGGTTTGAAGCAGCCTGGAGCGCTAAGAATGTGCGACGTAATCTTACGGAACCGCAATAAAATATTTCATATCTCCGTTTCCGAGTTTATCAATCTCGCAACTTACAGGATTACGAGAAATGGTATAATTTGACATATTTTCATAATTTTTTTAGATTGCATACACATATACACGCGTTAAGGTAATCTTTGCAAAAAATGACTGAAATTGGAAATTTACATTACTCATATATAAATAAATGTTATATACATATAAAGCAGTTCAATAAGATCAGTTACTTTATATAATATTCGCAATACAATTTTATAGTTTAAATGAAAATTTGTTTTATCTTATCTTAATTACTTTTTAAAATATGTCTACCTTTATTGAAATAATAATTTTTGATACACGTTCTAAATCACCGCCAAATATTTTATATTTTCAAATGTAGAAAAATCTGTAATTTTTTAATAATTTTTTTCGTAATGCATCCTTATTATCACCAACTACTACTACTATTGTATTTTTATTTTTTTACATATTAATAAATTTTAGTTTTATTTTTATTCGTCGAGCTAGCATTTATTGACTACATTTCATCACAGTGAAATATATTGCAAACATAAATTATGTTTGCAATATATTTCACAATTTCCAGATTCCCTTCTCCTTTTATAGCAAAGTTCTAAGTTCTAGCAAAGTTCTAGATCTATCGAAGCAGCAAACTATTCATCGTTGCATTAAGACAGCTTATATCTTTATTCCTTTTGATCGCCAATGTGCTAATGCATGGGTGTATTCGGCAATCCCATACCGATCGATAAAATTTGCAATACCATGCTACATGTTTCGTCAGCTGCGCGCGACTCGGCGGCGCTATAAAATCGCGCGGATGCGTTCGCATGTTCCGAGTCCTAGGACGATCGCTCTCTCATCAACATCGTTGTACTGTTTCAGTGTTCAGCAAGGGCCAGTGCGAGACCGTAGCGTACAGATTCCTTGGCAAGCGAGGCGGTTACGCCTGGGTTATTACCCAGGCCACCCTCATCCACTGCTCCAAACAGCAAAAGCCGATCTCTGTCGTCTGTGTCAACTACATCCTAAGGTAGGATCCGCTATTATCCTCCCTGTTCGGTGCTGGTTTACTCTTCTTCATACCATCAAACCGGAGTACCTTCGATTTCGCTTGTATCTTGAATTAAGCATGGCTGTATTCTTTTCGTTGCTCAATTATTACATTAGAGAAATTGAATTAAGTCTTACATTGATTAAATTGTACATATATCGATCTGATTTCATTTCCGATGAGTATTACTTTGTAATTGATTCGTGCATTTTTGCGAGAACTATGTGGAAGATTTAACGATGAACAAGTGAAACTTTTTGATTTTTATTCTCAATTTTTGAAAATTTTCAATTACTGTTAAATTCATAATATACTTTAAGTAATTTTTGCGATCTAACTTTAATTTTAGTCAAAATACTTCCTGAAGTTTAATGTGAATTTGAGGTAAATTATTACGTCAGATTATTATGTCATCAGCTCTGTTTTTTTCTATTGAAGAATAATTTTGAAATTATAACGGAAATGAAATCCAATCAATTCTTTACATTTCTAGTATTTTGCGGCGACATTTCCTAAATGACACTGCTGCAAGCTTACGTCAGACGTAATAATAATTTCGCAAAGCACGTGGTTTTTGATCAGGCGTCCATGTTCATTAACTCCGCAATGTATCGCGTGAGAAATTAATTTCCATCATACTTATCGTGTCTCTGATCGCGCGCTCTATCAACTGAATTCCTTTGTAATTATTCTCGAATTGCGTGAGAATTCGCAAAATTGAAATAATGATATAAGTTGTACTGAAATTATTTAAAAAATATTATAAAGGAAAACAAGTATCATTTAATTGTCACAAAATTTGTCTTTTTTTTTTGGTCATAATTTATGAGCATTTTTAATGAGTCAATTAATTTTTTTTTATTAATACACGCGACGATGAACAATCCATACGTTAATATTCAAACTCATCGTTTGCCCGATTAACCGGATACGCAAATTATTTCCTACTACTACTACTACTACTACTGCGGACACGCTACTTCCGGTAACTTCCGGCGAAGGCGGCGAAGGCAGAGTCACGCGAGGTAGGTGCTCTCTTAATTTTTTTCGGCGCAGATTCAACCCTCGATTGGTCGCCTAAAACATATTAATTCTAACCACTTTTACAAAGGAACATAACTAAATGTTGCCCTCCGATTTTAATCGAGCTTTAAATATGTTAAAGTATAGATAAAAGTAAGAGATATGTATCTTTTTATAAGTGCTTCTCCTACATTAAGGCGATGAAAGACTCTCTAGAAAAAAATAGATTTTTTTCTTGAAAGAATATCATTTGAATCACTAAAGATATTTACAGAAATTGTAAATAAAAGTTGAATGAATACTAGGTTTCAAGAATACTATATGATAGTAAATAAATTTTTTAAATAAAACTATTATTTGTGAAAAATAAAATTTTTTTATCGTTGTAAAGTACTTTTAAAACCATTCAACTTTTAACTTAAATCTTTCTTTTATATCTTCAGACGATATTCGTTCAGAAAAAAAGTAATCTATTTTTGTCAAAGGTGAGTTCCTCCTCTTAGCGTGCGAGAAAATACTTATATAGAAAAATACATGTCTGTTATTTTTTTCCTATACTTTAACATATCCAAAGCTTATTAAAACATTTTTTTGTGTTTCCTTGTTGGTACGATTCATCGAAATAATACGAAGAGAAATTTATTTGTTTGATTACGATCTTAATAATAATGCTCGACGATTTAGCTAATGAATCAGATAAGAAGAACGCGTTTAAAAATATCTCCTAATTAGAAGAACCATTTTCTTTCGGATGATTCTAAAAGTGACTTTCTAAATTTTCTCCGCTCTGATCTTTCATTCTTATAAAGTTTCGAATTTTCTATTTATTTTCTTTCGAATATGTCTCTAATATCGTATCATTCAAGGGTTAATCTGATGCCTTTTAATGCGACAAGTTAGCCGGATGCTTTTGTGCAATTTTTTTTCTTAGCACGCCGGTTCCCTTCTCGCATTTAGTGCTTTTCGCATGTCTGTCGAAGGTACTCCAAATATTCGCGGCTCCCATTTGAAAAGGGTGCGCGAAAATAATTTTACTCCGCGGACGTTTTATTGTGGAAGATCACAAGAGGCATTAAATTACCAATGAACTGTGTTCCTCTCGCCGAAAACAGAACTCTCACTATCAAGGATCGAATGGATGAAACGAATCTCCCTCGCGGTTTGAACGTTATTCCCCTTCCAGAGAATCCATAACATGCGCCGGATTTCCTGGGATTGCCGATCTCTCTCGAAGAGAGGAAAACGAAGAGAGTTTCGTGGTATAAACCCCGACCCCTTTTCCATCCCGCTATCTCGGGGCGGTGGCTGTTTTCATTGGTGGCTGAAAGGTGGTTGGTAGATTCCGACGTTATCTCCGACCCATCCCCTTGGATTCTTGCTATTTTCTCGGATATTTTACTTCATCCCTTCGCCATCGTTTCTACCCCCTCTTCTCGACTCTTTCGCACTCTCGATTTCGTCGGAGAACGCGCGTACCTCCAGTTAGCTTTTGCCACCGGAAGCGGAAGAGTTCGTGAATATTATAGGTATCAGTCATGTACGTTTCTTAACATATGGTATGTATTCATATACAAAACGAGTTGGCACCGATTCTGTGAAGTGGTGTAATTGTAATATTTGTCGCAAACGGAAAGATTAACACAAGTCTATGTCATGTGAATAATATTAAATAATTACGTGAATCTTTCCTCGAAATTCTCATTTTACATATAATTTTAGTTATCATTTTACAATTTTATCATTTAATAACTTTAGCTTCGTAAAGATCTCGTTTGAAATCAATTGACAAGTTTGACAATTAACAAGTTTATTTATTTTTCTAGTATGTTTTCGCTGTAGCATTTGCTTATAATTTCATATTCAATTACCACTTTAAACTTTACTTACAGCTACGTGCGTTGATCGCAACACGATCTTTCTCGTAACACGATCGTTTATATATTCTTAGGAAAGCTCGCGCGATGCCTCGTCCGTACCACTGTTATCACTGCCAACTAATTAATCTGTTGCACAGATCGATAATTAACGTCCATCCAATCGAATGCTCGCCGAGGCCGAATGTGCGTTCCCCTTCAAGCACGCACAAAGCAGCGCGCACCGTCGAGATGGAAAAGCTGACGCTTGCGCGTCGCGATACGTGACTTTCGTCGTTCTCCTCTCCCGGTCGGGTCCGGAACTCGTCGATACCCGCGTGCGCGTTCGGCACCGATCGTCCGTCGCGTACGTCGACGACCCGCGACAGTCGAACGAAAGCGAGAGCGGTCGGCGAAAGTGTTGCGTCGTCCTCCCGTATGTCGCGCAAGCTCAGTCGCGGTCGCGACGGTGGTTGATGTTAAAAATCCGTACGCTGTCGCAAGTAAGTCGATAGATACGACGAACGGTGTCATGGAGATTGTATAGGAGAAAATTTGCCGTAAATGAGATGCATGGTCAGAAAGTTGCCACGAAAGTGAAAATCGGAGAAATCAGGGAAAAGTCCGGAAATTGCAAAAAAAAATTGTCTGGAAAAATTAAAATTCCCGGCTTTAAGGAAGTTCAATGTACCTACGTCACATCTACCTCGGAATATTACCGACCTGACAAGCAAACGCAAGCAGTTTCAGCAACATTATTCGCGATTATTGCTTATCGTTAAATGGCTCTCTCGATAAAATACTTGACGGTTTCCGAATCGTGACGAAAATACAAGAAATTTTTTAATATTATCGAATCACCAGAGAGAGAAAATCATGAAATTTGATTTGAAAATCAAAAGTTATGAAATTTTAGAACACTGTGAACAATTCTAATTACGTTAATGTTTTCATCCTTTTATTTTGTATAATGATTTAATCGACGAAATAAGTTACAGTAAAACAAGCGCAGCACGATATGTCAGATTACAATTTAATACTTTAATAAAGTTTAACAGGAAACTTTTGTTACGCAGAATGCAGAAAGGTTAAATTAAGATTCAAATTGATGCCGGCAACCGCAGGAAGAGACTCGTGCAGGATGCTTTTCTCTAAGGAATATTATACGTATTCGCATTGCTGTCTGCCGAAGAAATGTGATATTATCTTCCGCTTCTCGCACGTGTCTGACCGGTTTTCCTGCAAGAATCCTCGGGAGAATTGCTTTTGAAAGCTGCTACGCGTGAAACCACGTCTTCCCGTTCGACGAGAAGCATTGCATTGCATCGCGTTAGCTTACTTGAGTATGGTACATGGAATTATACAATCAAGTATATCTATTCTTGCACCGATAGCTTGGAGATATCGAGTAAAAAGACCAATGAGATTGTCATTCGAAAGTAGAAGAGAGGGAAGAGTGTTGTTTTTGAATCGTAAGATGTTGATTGTCCTTGCGAAATATTGACATTACAGAATTATAACAAGTGCATATATCATAAAAAAAATACGCGCGCGCGCGCGTGTGTGTGTGTGGATAATGCATTAAAAACAGAAACTCCTTATCTGCTAAAAGAATTGAAGAAACATGTTGAACGTGCTTTGTTCCGATATTTCGCGGTATTTTTTCTTTTTTACAGTGAATATTGACGATGGAGTAAAAAATTAAAACGTAGAAGTGCGTCAAGCATAGATAACGTACATTACCTGACTAAAAGTAGAAGCACTTTGCGCCGATATATATCTGTAAGATATACATGAAAAGATTATTGCCATTATAAAAGAATTTTAATTTGTCGTTTGTTCTTACTTGTTGATATTTCACAAAAAATTAAATATTTAATCTTTTATAATCTTATATATTTCTTTCTTATTCAATTTTACTTACAAATATTAAAATATTCTTTGCTGAGGCAAGAACTTTCTGCAGCAAAAGTCCTCCCCGCATTGTGTATTTCTCGTTAACCTTTAAATAGCGAATCTATTTTTAAAATCTTACAGCTTTACTTCTTGAGTAAAATTTGTTATAATTCAGTATTTTTTTTTATTGTATTTTATTTCCTGCAA